CTGAGTGGCTGGTTTCGTTTCACAAAGCCACACGTGCCTTGACCTTGTGCTGTAAGTTTGGCCCCTCAGGTTTCCCAGGTTGGTAGAAACCACTCGTGTAGCGTGGAGTGTATTTGATCAGCCACCGATTGCTGCTCCCACAGTCTGCACATGCCAATACGTATATCTAAGATTTCCACACGTCATGGAGGCTCATTGGGACACGTGCGGGAACACTAATCCTGCTGTGAGACACTTGGATGTCCTGGACAAATATATTAAGCTCTTGAATTCTCCTGGCCAAGATTTCTGGAGGGGGGTGTGAAAAAAAGTACATGTCCTGTAAACCCAAACAGACGGCAGCCTTACATAAAAGCAACCATTTTCACATGACTGGACATTAAGAACAGTTACTATGTTACAATCGCTGCTTAAAAACACACAATAGATTACATTGACTATACAACAGCTGTATTTTTATATGTTTATTAACAAAAGTGGTAGGGAATGAAGAAAAAACACAGCCTTAGAGCATAGCATATTGTCCCTTTCTCCGCTTGCACATATGCAATAGCGTTACTGCAACTGAGGAGGCTGTGCAGGGTCGCAGTACTGCTAAGTAAACAGCCACACAGAAAACTGAGGAAATTTCTTACTTATGTTCTAAAAAGCATTAAAATCAGATTAAAGTAAGTGTACAAACACAGACGCATAACAGATACCATCCTCCTATTTTCTGTCTGGATTCCTTTAAGTGCCAGAGTGATGAGGTAAACCAGAAGAATGGACACACAACTGGTAAGACCAGCTGAGTTTGTTTATCCTTGACATTCACTTCATCCAGTGATAAACTGCCATCCTGCACTGATTTCTAATGTCTCAAAACAAATGCCGATTCTTGTGTACACTCCTTGGGGTAACTGCAGTCTGTGGATCAGGATTTCCTAGAAGAGCTGTTGGTAAGGTCTAATTTAGTCATCTATTAAAAGCCCCAAACCCCTAATTTTACTGAAAACAATAACACAAGATTGTTGTTTTCTACAGAATTAGAGGTTAGGAACCCTTTTTGAAGAATCAGTTAAATATACTTCTATAATTAGCACAAAAGCTTCAATTCCACAATCCCAGGAAGTGCTTTTTCCTCTAGTACATCTTGATGCTGCGTTTGCCACTGTTAGGGAATCGCAGAATTGTATTCACCCAATTTACAGCAGTAGTAGCACTTTGCAATTACCAAAGAATGACCTGGATGAAACAGGGTTAATAATAACTGAAGGTATGTTATTTGTCAACAGATAAAACAGAAGATACCCGAGGTGAAAACACTACGACTGCTGTCAGGGCTCAATTACTTTCTTGCAAATCTGCTTTATTGAATTGCCCGGCTGTCAGGGGGCGAGCTGGGTCTTCGACCCTTCAGCTGCTCTTGAGAGCGCTCATGAGACAGCCTCTTGGTTCAGCCACAGTTCAGCCTATTAAGGTTTCTCAACTGCAATACGCAAAATAGGCATATGACAAGGCTTTTTCATGAATTTGCTCCCAGTTAACAGACTAAGTACAACAGATTGTACCTTTGCTTAAAACGCTGTGGCTGGGCAGCAGCAAGGGAAGGTTTGAGTAGTTTGTGCCCATCTCTTCACTTTGTGCCAGATTTTACTTTGGAAAATGGGAGGAAAGAAAAGGCTTATTAAACATTTCAGTCGTAGCTGGTTTTGCTGGGATTTTTATTTTTGTTTTTTCTTCTTTCAAACAAGGAACCTATCCAACTAAATACTTTCACACGTGTTTCTACAAGCTGTTATTTACCTCTGGATCGCTGCTCACAGTGCAGCACATCGGTTACTGAGACTCGTAAGTAGCTCACCCCTTGCACCAAATCAATCACGGCAAACAAAGCCCTTGGGAGTCCTCAATCCCTGAAAACCCGTCAGTGCTGACAGGGAACAAATCAAGGGAAAGGAGAAAGAAAAAAACATAGAAGGAACTCCCAGAATCAATGCATCACACCTGAAATCAAGGAAATAAATTTCCTAAGTGCATAAAGACAGCGATTCCCAATTCTGTCTCATGACCCAGTAAACATTATGTTTACTCTAGTGATAAAAGAGGCTTCAACTGGACCAATTAAAATGCAGGCAATGTCCTTTCTCGTTTATCAAAGTGTCTGTTTTAGCATCTCTCAGTTTTTGCAGTTTACAACTAGTTAGCGCTTAGCTTTCAGCCCGTGTCATTACTGCTGGCTGGTAATGGCTGTGAAATTGTTACTCAAGTGTTGTATAAAGTGGAACAGCTGGCTGGTGAAAAATAACGGCATTACAGCACGGGTGCTGCTAAGTGCCACGGTACTGTGTCAACAAAGTGTCTGGGTTGAAACACCACAGGGAAGGGAGAGAGCGAGCGCACACATGCAAATTCACCCTCAAGACGTGCAAGAGATCAAAGACACGGAGCAGGCAGAAGCCACAGATATCCTGCCACAGGGAGGACTCCCCTCTCCACATTTTACTCCTGACAACGTCTCTCATGCAGCATACAAATATCACACATCCCTCCGTTCCAAAGCAAAGTGCAAATAAACAGAATCTGACCCCTAAACAGCTCTAAATAAAGATGTTTCAGACCCACGGCATTGAATCTAGTTTTCTATTACTGTGAGCGCTCAGGGCAAAGATCTGCGGGAACCTTTCATGCTCCTTCCGAGAAAGCGAGCTACTTTCAACATCAAAGGACTAAAAAGAAAAGGGAGGCTGTTAACACAGGTGCTACCACTGGTTATCATCTTGTTACCAGTGGCGACTAGAAGGTGGCAGATAAACTGTGCGCAGAGGGGTACATCTTAGAGAGCTTCTAGGCACCTAACAGACAAGGCAGTGGGCTCTGAGTTTGCCTTGTCACCATATCTCCCCAAAGCACTTCAGAAATAAACAGAAATAGAAACCCCCTCAAGTTATCTTTAGTGCTTTTTCCTGCTCAGAGCCTAGTCTCAACCCAGGAACAGAGAAACCAAAGCAGTGTTTAGCTGTACAGGATGGTAGTCTTCACTTTACAAATATCCACCACCTT